GAAACTCGCCGCCGCCTCCGCCGAACGGGGCTCTTCGTCGACTGCTTCCGCCTTCGTGCCGTCTCCATCTGTTGCCAGTACCTTTCGTTTCTTCTTGGGGGCTGCCAGCGCCTTCTTCGCCTTCTCGTGAATCTCTTCGATGTACTTGAACTTCGCCTGTAGCGTGCCGAGCTGATCCATTTGGAACTGCTCGAGCTCTCCTTTCCACTGTATGATGCGGTCCATCTCGTCCTTGGGGATGTCGCACTCCTCAAGGCCTTCGAAGAGCTTGTCGTCGTACTCGAACTTGACCTTGAGGGTGCCGCCGCCGATCTTATCCTCTGGCTTGAGCACGAGGATGCCCGATTCATGATTAGCCTGTTGAAGGGCCAAGAGATGCCGTTGTTGGACCTCGACACGCTGTTGCACCAACTTCTCTATGTAGTCGTTCTGGTCGCCCAGGTACAGCTGCGCGTCCATGAGCTTCTTCCTTTGCTTCCCGATGCGATGATCGAGGTCCTTGAGCGCGCGGTTGGCCTCGCCCAGGAGCTGCGCACCCGTGCGCTGCTTGGGCGGTGCTGGGGCCGGCTTGGCGTTCTCCTCCTCCTCCAGGGCCTTGCGACGCAGCGTGTCCAAGGCGGCCGTGATTTTGGGGTCCGACTGGTCGCCGACGCCCTGGTCTGCTGCCAAGCTCGCGATGAGGGAGACCGTGGTGAGCGGGTCGGGCTGTCCGACGTCGCCCGTCGGTTCCTCCGCGTTGTCCCAGCCTGCCGTGTCGCCCTTGTGGGTGGAGGTGGAACGTTTCCACGGCGCCCACTTCTTCCATGGCCGTCCTGAATTTGACCAACCCGCAGAATGCTTGTCATTCGGTGCCCATACTCCTGACGGTGGTGGTGGGGCGCCGAAGGTGGGGAAGAGCTTTGCCTTGCACTTGAAGCACTCGGTCTTACTGCTCCAGTTCCAGTTATATCCACACGGTTTACTTCCAAAAAATCCCGCTGCAATCCCACTGCCATATCCCATGCCGCTGCGCACTGAGAAACAAGGGTGCAATCGCGCGGCGGCCGCGCGGACGTGCTCACCTGCGGGCAGCAAGTGGCACGCAGAGACCTGGGGCGGACCAGGCTCTGCAAAGCAAGCGGGGTATGCCGCGGACTAGCGGTATCCAGTTCTGCCAATGCGGGCTCAGCCCGCCGCAGCATCAGCCTTGAGCCAAAATGGCTACGGAGGAGGAGGAGGAGGAGGAGGAGGACGTCGGCGGCATGGCGTGGGCCAGGTGCCCTGCCCACGCCCCGCCCTGACCGCCCCGAGGCGCTGGACGACGTGCGGCCGCAGCGGACCGTCGGAGCACCGACGGACCGAGCCGAGTCTCGCGGGGCAGAACTGGGGGGGGGGGGGGACGAGAGGGGGGGGGCACTGGCTCGGGGCAGGGGACACGTTCCCTTGGAAGGTGTCGGCGATGTGCCCTCGGACAGCGGGGTGGGCCACGAGGCCCCTACCAGCGATGAGTGCGCGAGTGGGGGTTGACGCATTCCCCTCTGAGCCCATCCCCCAAACTTGCCATCGCTCGGACGTTCATCCCCCTATATTGGTTGGTTTCGTGCGTTCGTGTCTTCAAACATGGCCCAACACGGTCCAGACTTCCTGGCGCTGGCCGCGCCGAGAAACATGCACTCGTCCGAACGACGCCAAGCTAATGATCCGTGCCGTCTGGTTTTCGGGTCGGAGCTCGTGTCTCTGGCGGCCGGTCTGCACGATCCGGGCACCCCCGGCACGCTCTCGGTGAGGCGCAGCCGCTGGAGAGTACGCCGAGGCCCAACACCGCCGAGGAATGACGAGAAGGTCCGAAAACCTTGAACTCGAACCCGCAACCCTGGGTTCATCCTCCCCCCCCGCTAACTCGGAGCAGTGCGAGTTGAGATAACGGCAGCTCAAAATCGGTCTCTGTTTTTTTTCTCACGGCGTCCACCCCCGCCAATTTTCCCAGCTGCGCCCAGCCCTGGCGAGGCGGGGCAATCCCGAAGGCCAACTATCGTTGACTCGACTCCTCCTCCTCCTCCTCCTCTTGCTAACGCTTCTGGGAGGCGTGAAGGTATGGTGGGGCCAGCTGTTGGGCATAGCGGAGCATCGCACTGGGCTGCCCCTGGAGGAGGGCAGCGGCAGTCTCGAGCGGTGTTCGCTCCCTCGAAGCGCTGCGACCTGGAGGAGCAGTGAGAGCCGGGTCGGGGCGGAGCCCCGTGCCGGCGGCGGGCTGAGGGGGGTTATGGGTCGGGTCGGGCGAAAATGGGGGGATAGCAAAGGGGGGGGGTGAGAATCAGCTCACTCGGGGATCTTCTGACACGGGTCAATCCAGACCCGGGTCAACAGGAAACCAAAAACTGCAACGCATGAAAAAAATATCCCGGCAAAGCAACCTAACAGCGATGTGTAGAAGCATAGCTAGAAACAATGCCTGTGGTATTCATGTAAGAGTGCTGTTGCAGAATTCTAGTGTTCTCGCAGTCGCATTCGGATTCGCAGTGGCAGTCGCAGTGGTAACATCAGCGGCAGTCGCAGTGGCACTGCCAGAAGTTGCAGTAGCAATAGCTACACTAGCAGCAGCAACAGCAGCATCAGCAGTAATAGTAACAGTAGTAGTAGCAATAGAAGTAGTAGTGATGGTAGTAGTGGTAACAATGAAGTAGTAGTTGTAGTGTGTGGAGTGAACGGGTAGGAGTAATGGGAGCAGTGGTATTAGCAGTACAAACGCTGCTTTCGATAACGGTATCTCCAAATGAGATCTTTGTATACATGCATTGAGGTCTAAACAAGACACCGCTATCAACGGATGTGATTCCAAACGAGACACTGCTATCAACGGGTTGAGCCTCAAACGACACACTTGCATCAATGAATGTAGCTCCAAAACAGGCACTCCCATGGATGGATTTAGTGTAATGTCGTTGTAGTAGTAGTAGTAGTAGTAGTAGTAGTAGTAGTAGTAGTAGTAGTAGTAGTAGTAGTAGTAGTAGTAGTAGTAGTAGTAGTAGTAGTAGTAGTAGTAGTAGTAGTAGTAGTAGTAGTAGTAGTAGTAGTAGTAGTAGTAGTAGTAGTAGTAGTAGTAGTAGTAGTAGTAGTAGTAGTAGTAGTAGTAGTAGTAGTAGTAGTAGTAGTAGTAGTAGTAGTAGTAGTAGTAATAGTAGGGCACGGACCCGTGAGACCTGAGTCTCCACCGGGGTGCTCAGCGAAGCCATTGATGATGATGATGATGATGTGATGATTGAGGAGGATGATGGGATGATGACCGCGCTACTTGGACTTGTTCTGTCCGTCTTTCTCTGCCTCCAACCAAATCTTGGAAGACATCTCGCAAACGGAAGAGGAGCGCAATGAGGAGCGGCGTGTGAAGCGGACAGTCGGCAAAACTTGCAGGCTGAGAAGCACCGCAGAAACTCGGAGGCTGAGAAGCACCGCGGCCGCGCAGTCCTACTACTGCTGGAACTAGGATTACAAGTACGCACGCCGAGAAGCACCGTGCACAAGGAAATCTTCGAAAGCAGGGCTGTAGCCAAGAAGGCTACGGGGACGATCATGATGATGATGATGATGATGATGATGATGATGATGATGATGATGAAGATGATGAGTCTTGGAAGTCTGGGAAGTGGAAGAACACGAAGTGGCGTACAGTTGGCTCCGGGCATTCAAAATGTGGCCCGGGGGTGGAGTTCGGGAAATGGAAAAACACGAAGTGGCCAACAGTTGGCTCCGGGCATGCAAAATGTGGCCCGGGAATGGAGTTCTGGGAAGTCCAAAAGCACGGAGTGGCCTACAGTTGGCTCTGGGCATCCAAAATGTGGCCCGGGAGTGGAGTTCTGGGAAGTCGAAGAGCACGAAAGGGCCTACAGTTGGCTCCGGGCATCCAAAATGTGGCCCGGGAATGGAGCTATGGGAAGTCGAAGAGCACGAAGTGGCCTACAGTTGGCTCCGGGCATTCAAAATGTGGCCCGGGAATGGAGTTCTGGGAGGTCGAAGAGCACGAAGTTTCTGACTGTTTGCTTAAAACGAGCCCGGCCCTCGCCTGTCCGGCTCCCGCCCAGACCCCCCTGGGGAGTCATCAGATGTTGTCTTTTGACCCCATTAGAAACCTATCAGTCTTCGCTGTTAGGTAAAAACTGCAACGCAGATGCTCGCAAACCCGGGTCAGCCAATACGCGCGGCCGCCTCGCGGCCACGAGCGGCTCGCTAACCGGGGTCAGCCAGAGGGAGTCTTCGCAGGATCCTGCAGGATCTGGCGCCCTGGCTGACCCCCGTTTGCATTGACCCCCGTCTCAAGGTTCCCGACTCACGTAGCTGATTTTCCTGGCGCCTCCCGGCGCCGGGAGGCGCCCCGGGAGGCGCCCATGTATCGAGGAATGGGCCCCTTGGTGAGGCCGAAACCAGCTGCACGCATCGGATTTCGTACCCCCCCCTTTCCCTATCCCCCCTTTCGTTCGGCCCGAATGGGGGAGGGGGGGAAGCTTCTTGGAAGAAGGCCTCAACTCCGAAGACGCCAGCCTCACACTTGTAGCAAGGACCGCGCCTTCTGAGAGGCAGCCTCTTTCTGAGAAGCCTTCCCCCCTCCCCTCTGCGCAACGCCGATCAGAACTGGGTTTTGGTCGGGCATGTCCCCCTACAGGCGGCTTTTGGAAGCAAAATTAAGCATAGTCCGAAAGTAAGCAAACATGGTAAAAAATAATCGAAATTTCGTCCCCGGACATTTTTTTTGCTATTCTTGAACATTCCTCCTGTAGAGGGGCATGCCCGAATTAGAACTGGGCCGAGACTAGCGGCCTCCTAGATGGGGTCGGAGTAGATGGGGTCGGAGGATCGCGCCGCATCGCCGATGCATCGGCGATGCATCGGCGATGCCTCGTGGACGTGGGCGATGCATCGGCGACGTCGACGTGAGGCAAATCGGGCTCCGCATCGGCGATGCACCGGCGGCGCGGCGCGATCCCTCGACCCCGCCCAGGAGGCCAATTCGAGAGACGGAGCCCCGCTCCTGGGGCGTGGCGAAGAGCGGCGGGCGCCCCGCGAGGAGCAGCCCGAGCGCGGCCGCGGCCGCGCCCGCGCCCCGCCGGGGCGCCATGCGGGCCGGGCGCTCTCGCCGCGGCAGGGCGCCGGGGCAGGGGCGAGCGCCTCGGGATGCCTAAAAGGCGGCTGCGGGAGGGGGGGCCCCGGCGAAGGGGGCAGAGCAGAGGGGGGCATGAGGGGGGGGCGGGTGAGGAGCGGGAGGGTGGAGGCGGGGATGGGGGTGGGAAACATGACGATCACGATGCCGAGGACGCCAGATGGTGACGGTGGTGGTGGTGAGGGCATGAGGGAGGTGGGGGCGAGTGAGGAGCGGGAGGGTGGAGGCGGGGATGGGGGTGGGAAACATGACGATCACGATGCCGATGACGCCAGATGGTGACGGTGGTGGTGGTGAGGGCATGAGGGAGGTGGGGGCGAGTGAGGGGCGGGAGGGTGGAGGCGGGGATGGGGGTGGGAAACATGACGATCACGATGACGAGGACGCCGACGGTGACGGTGGTGGTGGTGAGGACATGAGGGAGGTGGGGGGAGTGAGGGGCGGGAGGGTGGAGGCGGGGATGGGGGTGGGAAACATGACGATCACGATGCCGAGGACGCCAGATGGTGACGGTGGTGGTGGTGAGGGCATGAGGGAGGTGGGGGGAGTGAGGAGCGGGAGGGGGAGGCGGGGATGGGGGTGGGAAACATGATGGTCACGATGACGAGGACGCCGACGGTGACGGTGGTGGTGGTGAGGAATGAGGGAGGTGGGGGGGAGTGAGGGGCGGGAGGGTGGGGCGGGGATGGGGGTGGGAAACATGATGGTCACGATGACGAGGACGCCGACGGTGACGGTGGTGGTGGTGAGGACATGAGGGAGGTGGGGGGAGTGAGGGGCGGGAGGGTGGAGGGGGGATGGGGGTGGAGACATGACGATCACGATGCCGATGACGCCAGATGGTGACGGTGGTGGTGGTGAGGGCATGAGGGAGGTGGGGGGAGTGACGAGCGGGAGGGTGGAGGCGGGGATGGGGGTGGGAAACATGATGGTCACGATGACGAGGACGCCGACGGTGACGGTGGTGGTGAGGACATGAGGGAGGTGGGGGAGTGAGGGGCGGGAGGGTGGAGGCGGGGATGGGGGTGGGAGACATGACGATCACGATGCCGATGACGCCAGATGGTGACGGTGGTGGTGGTGAAGGCATGAGGGAGGTCGGGGAGTGAGGGGGCGGAGGGTGGAGGCGGGGATGGGGGTGGGAAACATGATGGTCACGATGACGAGGACGCCGACGGTGACGGTGGTGGTGGTGAGGACATGAGGGAGGTGGGGGGAGTGGATGGGGGTGGGAGACATGACGATCACGATGCCGATGACGCCAGATGGTGACGGTGGTGGTGGTGAGGGCATGAGGGAGGTGGGGGGAGTGAGGGGCGGGAGGGTGGAGGCGGGGATGGGGGTGGGAAACATGATGGTCACGATGACGAGGACGCCGACGGTGACGGTGGCGGTGGTGAGGACATGAGGGAGGTGGGGGGAGTGAGGGGCGGGAGGGTGGAGGCGGGGATGGGGGTGGGAGGCATGACGATAACGACGACGACGATGACGCCGATGGTGACGGTGGTGGTGGTGGTGGTGGTGGCGGTGGCGTTGTTGGTGGTGATGGTGATGATGGTGATGATGGTGATGATGGTGATGATGGTGATGGTGATGGTGATGGTGTTGGTGATGATGATGATGATGATGATGATGATGATGATGATGATGATGATGATGATGATGATGATGATGTCAGTGATGATGCTGATGATGGCCATGGTGAGGAAATTGAAAAGGAAAAAAGAAGCAAGGGCCAGCGAGGAGGGAATATGAACAGAGAGGGGGAGCGAGTCAAGAGGAAGGATGAGGAGGAGCTCAGGTGATGATGACGAGTATGACGGAGGAAGGATGATGCTGGGAGGGATATGGATGAATGGGAGGGTGGAGGAGGCAGGAAGGAGTGGCTGGAGGAGGAAAATGAGGATAGGTACTTTGATGGCGAAGATGTAGCAGGCAGGATGAGCAACGAATATGATTGATGATGCGTGTGGGTGGGGTCGGGGGATGGTGGTGATGATGATGATGATGATGATGATGATGATGATGATGATGATGGTGGTGGTGATGGCGATTAGGACGATGATGGTGATGGTGGTGGTGATGGGGATGGTGATGGGGATGGTGATGGTGGTGGTGATGGGGATGGTGATGGTGATGGTGATGGGGATGGGGACGACGACGACGACGCTGACGATGATGGTGATGGTGACGACGACGACGATGATGATAATGATGCTGTTGTTGATGATGGTGCATGACGGACGGCCCATGGAACGCGCGGGTCGAGGGACCAGGCGTGCCACCGCTCCCACGCGGAGAAGGACGAGGAGGACGAGGAGGAGGAGGAGGAGCGAGGAGGAGGGAGGAGGAGAGGAGGAGGAGGAGGAGGAGGAGAGAGGAGGAGGAGGAGGAGGAGGAGGAGGAGGAGGAGGAGGAGGAGGAGGAGGAGGAGGAGGAGGAGGAGGGAGGAGGAGGAGAGAGGAGAGGAGGAGGAGGGAGGAGGAGGAGGAGGAGGAGGAGAGGAGGAGCGAGGAGAGGAGGGAGGAGGAGGAGGAGGAGGGAGGAGGAGGAGGAGGGAGGAGGAGAGAGGAGGGAGGAGGAGGAGGAGGAGGCGCCGTCCGAAACCGCCCGGCGCGGCGCTCCGCGCTCCGCCCTCCGCGCTCCCCCCGCGGCGGCCTGCCGCCGCGGCCGCCCGCCGAGCGCCTCCTCCGCGCTCCGCGGGGCAGCTGCTCTGCCGAGGCACTCCAGATTGCGTAACAAACGGAGGAGGAGGAGGAGGAGGAGGAGGAGGAGGAGGAGGAGGAGGAGGAGGAGGAGGTGAAGGAGGAGGAGGAGGTGAAGGAGGAGGAAGAGGAGGTGCCGAGGTACTCCAGACTGCGTAATGAAAGGGAGGGGGGTTTCATTTCGGGGGGGGTCTCTTCCAGGCTATCTTGGAGGGCCCGGGGGGGGTCTTCCCCTGATGGCGGGATCCGCCGTCACCACCGCCGGCGGCGTCATCAGCGGTCCGCTGTGACGCCCGCGAGAGCCTGCTGAGCTCGCCTCGCCTCTCCTCCTCCTCCTCCTCCTCCTCCTCCTCCTCCTCCTCCTCCTCCTTTCCTCCTCTGTGCAAGTCCGGCTGCGCCCTGTTCTGACTGGGCTCGAAGATGCCACAAGAAAGACGATGTTTTGGAGGGTTCTCCCAGGGGGGGGGGGTCTAAAACTTTTCGTCTGGGAGGGTTGAGACCCCCTCCCTTTTATTGCGAAATCTGGAGTACGGTCCAGCGCCTGGGAGAGTTAGCGCGCCCATGGCACAATGGCGCGACGAACACGCTCGGACCGAATAGTGATGCTGGCGGCCTCCAGAACAGAAGCTGCCTCTTTGCGTCCAGGGAGCATGCCCCTTGCGAATAGTGATGCTACCGCGCTCTCGCGGCCGGCGCCGCACGCGGCGGCCCTTCCGAGGTCGGGGCGGCGGCGTGGCAGCTCGACAGGCCGAGGGCCGTGGGCTGCACCTGCGGCGGCTCGCACCCCAGACCCCCTCGCGTCATGAAAAAATCACGACGGGCAGTTTTTTTGCCATTTTCGGCCTCGGGCCCTCACCGGGCCTCGGGACCGTCAAAAATCGACTAAGGATGAAAAAGCGGTCCCGGGGAATGGGTTGGGACCTCTGGGGGTCGCGTCATGAGAAAATCATGACGTCGGGGGTCTGGGACCCTGGCGTGGCGACCAGCGCATCAGGCCTCCGCCGATCCACTGACGCACGCATGCGGTGTGCGTGTGCGGGGGCCGCGCCGCCCTCGCGACACCGCTCCCCTCCCGGCGGCGGGGAGGGGGCGTCGGGGATCTACGAATCCAGGTCCATGCAGACCCGGGTCAGTGAGGCCTTGCAGGAGCCTGCAAGATTCCGCAGGATCCTGCAGGATCCTGCGCCCGAGCCCACACCCCTGGCTCTGCAGGCTCCTGCAAGGTCCAGCGCTCTGACTGACCCCCGTGTGCACTGACCCCCGTCTCTTGAGCCCCGAACGAGCCGCCTCTTGACGGCCCCCGGGGGCCCCTTGAGGGCCACGGGAGACCGCCCGCCGCACGTCGTGGCGGCCGCCGCCCGCCCAACGACCCCTCGAAGCGCAGGGTGCTGCGGCGAACGCCCGCGCTCGGCGGGCGGCGCTGCCCGCCGCGCCCGCCGCAAGCCGGCGGCCTGCCGCCGACTGCCGCTTCGTCGCGGGGCGCCGCCCGCGCCGTGCCGAAACCCAGACCCGCGCGCTCTTCGCGGCGGCCCGTCGCGAAGGTCGCCCGCAGCCAGCGCGGCGGGCCCGGCCTCCGTGCGCCGCGCGGCAGCGCGGCGGCGCCGGGCGGGAGGCGCGTCCTAGAAGGGCATACATGCCGCGTCTGTTTGTGACCCGTGGTTTTCGCAGCGGCCCGTCGTATCTGAAGGGGAACTGGGACACACAAATAAAGACACACAAACAAAACAAATCCCCGTATTTTCCCATATTTTCTGGGTTTTTGTCTCCCCCCCCACTCCCCATATTTTCCCATATTTTCTGGGGAATGGAGGATTCATTGTGTCTGTGTGTTTTTTTCCCTCCTGCGTATCTGGCGCCAACAGCCGGCGCGACGGCCCGGCCCCCGTGCCTTCGCGCGGCACAGCGCGCCTGCGCAGCCGTTTTTTGGGCGGGAGGCGCCCCGTCGGGGCACGCAGCCACACCGCGCTTCCATCCATCCACCCCTTTTCCTCAGAAATGCCTCCTCCTCCTCCTTTTCCTCCTCCTCCTCATCCATCCATCCCCTTCCGCCTCCTCCTCCTCCTCCTCCTCCTCCGCCTCCTCCTCCTCCTCCTCCTCCGCCTCCCACCGCGCTTCGCGCCTGTGGCCCGTGGTGTTGTGCCCGTGCCTGGCCCGGGGTTGGGAGGAAGGAGAAACTACGAACCTTGAAGTATACCCTGATGGTCCGCTACCGAAAATTTCCGGTAGCGCTCCGCAGAGATCGGTCGCTACCGAAATACCGAAATGTAGCGCCCAATACCGGTATCAGACCGTTCTGAAATCCGCTATTTCAACGCCCTCAAACGAAGATCCGGTCGCTACCGAAATTCGGGGTGCGTCGAAATCGCTACCGAAAATTTCCGGTACCAGACCATCAGGGTACGCTACCTGGGAAAACCCCAATCAGTGGATGATTTGAAAGTGAATGCGATGGAGTTTGAGATCGAGTGTGATGTCGATACTGAGATCGATAGTGAAAGCGATTGTAAGGTCGATCGTGAGACCGAGGGTGAAATCGATTCAATGAGATCGGTCGTGAAATCGATCGCGAGATCGCTCATGCGATCTCTAGCGAGACCGCTTGTGAGATCGATAATGATATCGATTGTGTCATCGATGGTGAGATCGACAGAGAAGTGGGTAATGAGATCGATGGTGAGACCGATCGATAAGAAGATCGACCAAGAACCCGGGACGCCGGGAACCTCGCCGCCCTCCGAAATCGGCTCGGAACCAATGACCAGGAACCCGGGAACCTGGAACCGGGAACCCAGCGTGCGACCAAAGTCGGCGGGAAACTTTCACCAAATCTTTCAACTTCTGCGAGGACCCCTTCAGTGCAAGCGCTGATTGGGGAAATGCGTACATATACAGATAGAAGCTACTCGACGATGAATCCCAAACTGTGCATCTAGTACTCCTGTCACGTCTCGCTGAGGAACTCTGTCTGTGAGCACCTGCGTGTGGGAGCGACTCCGCGTGGACGACGGGCGCGACAGTGACGACGACGACCGCGACGACTTCAGTGACGCCCCGCTCCTTTGGACATCAAGGAAGATGCATCCAGAAAACACAAGTTGAAGAGCGAGGGGGGATTCCTCTTGCCGTTTTTATTGCGGCAACTTGGACAATCGTGCGTGGCGTTGCTATGCCCGCTCTCTGGCGTGCTACTCGCGGCACCTGCTGACATTCTAAGTGTCCAGGAGCCACGCATGCTATATCGCGGTAGCCACATTGTGACGTGTGTGTGTGTAAACCTTGGTGTGAGTGAATTTGGTCGTGAATGATCTGAAAGTGAATAAGCCTGAATGTGAATGAATATGAATAGTATTGAACATGAGTGTGCGTGAATATGACTGTGAACTGGTCTCAGAGCGAGTGGCACTGACTGTGAATGAGTCTGGGTGTGAATGAGTTCGGCTATGAACATGAGAGATATGAGTCTGAGTAAGAGTGAACCCGAATACGACTGAGTCCAGGTATGATTTAGTGAGAGGATGGGCTAGTTTGATTTTGAATGAGTTTGGGTGTGAGCTGCCAGGGTATGAGTAGTGTGTTGAATTTGAGTGAGCCTGGGTATGAGTGAGACTTAATATGAACGAGGCTCAGTATGGGTACGTCTGAATGCGCCGAGTGGGTCTGAGTGGGGAGGGGGCGTTCATGAGAGAACATGGCTCTAAATGCGTGGGGCGAAATAGGGAAAACGGGAATAAGATAAGATAAGACCGATCGCGACGAGAGCCAAACAAGTAATTAAGCTTCAGCAGCCTGCTCAGCCTGGCTAAGCACTTCTGGCCAAAGACCTCTGGAAATTCGACTGCCTTCCGAGTCTTAGTGGTGGGTTGCAGGGCTGACCGGGACCTTGAAGCTGAGAGTATCCGTAACACCCGCACACCCCACAAAACCACATGTTCAGGCCATCAAGCAGCTCCATGGGATGGGGCTGGTGAACCCAGACTCCAGCGAGATGTAAACGACGACCTTTGGGCAACCTGCGCGTCAGACTGGAATGGGCCTCATGCTGAAAGCACGGGCTAGTCAGCCAGTCGACCTCGGTGGCATCTGAGGCTGAGCTCTTGCGCACTGTACACTGTTTCCCACAATCAGAGAGCTGGTGAGAGCTTCCGAACACAGCCGCGCACTGACGAGAGGAGGGAGGGGGAGCACGAGTAGAGGCGCAAGACCCGTCCATAGCGAGCTCCGCCACCTCGAGGGTGGCCCGGAGAAGCCTGTGCCTGACCTTGCACGCGCCGGCCTCGACCATCGCAACACGGTGTCTCTGAGTCTCTGAGAAGCTGAGACTCTGTCTGCAACCGCGGGATTCGTGGAGACAATATGCTCCACTTCCTTGTCGAGGTGAGAAGACACTTGCATGACAGCAGTCTCTGCGGGGTCTCTGGATCTGGTGGCGAGGTCCTTACCTATGCGACGCCAAAGATCAACGTTCACACCCGTCGGTTGCTCGAATAGACGGCACCGCCAGCCTGTACAGACTTCTTCATTACCGGTAATGAAAATGAGCGGGCCTCTAGTCCACCGAAGGCCTGTCTCCAGAGCAAAAGGTTCGCCCCTGGCCACCGTCTGTCTGTGGCCAAGACGCGGACCGAAAAGGAATCTAACTTCTGCATTCGTGCGGAAATGTGAGGTGTTCGCCACGGCTAACCCTGCACGGCGAAGTCGAGGGTCTTGCGTGTCGGGCCCCCCCGACGCATCTCCGTGTAGCACACGAGAGAGATCAGGGGCCCCCCTTCGAAAATAATCAGGGCCTAAATCACACGCATCTGGGTGACACGACCAACTTTCATCCTGACAAGGGTGGTCAACGCGCGTCCAAGGAGCTGGGACCACCCCCCTGAACCAAAAACATTCATCGCTGGCCGACTGGGCCCGCCCGCACACGAGGAATTAAATCGTCGGGCTTGCTATACGCAGGTGAGGCGGCCTCAGTGTTGCATGCGCATGTCCAATACATGTGCGTCGGCGTCGCGGCCTCGAAAAAAATTCTGGGGCAGCGGTCGCTGTCGGCATAGCCTGCCTCTTTGCGTCTGGTGGCGGGCCATTCGCCGCCAACTGCGATAACCAACATCAGCTCCGCTAAGCGCCCTGCGGTAGCTGTTCAAGTCGGTAGAGAAACGTCCTGTAGCTGAAGTTGTCGACGCCGCTCTCCATCCTTGCTTCGCGATATCCTCAAGCAGCGTCTCGCCACTGCTTCAGTTGAAGGTCGGAACAAACAGCGTCGAGCATCTGACCTGGAGAAATTCCATCCATGCTGCATAGCATGGAGGCTCGTAAGCATAAACCACTGAACAGGCGATTGTGGGTCCCACCCCGCAGACAAAAGATACTGTATGACGGCGGTGGGCGGTCCTCGAATGTGGCGTGCTCGATTGCATACAGGAAGAACGCTAAATTGGTCCACTGCTGCTTGCCACACATGGTGGACAAGGGCATGTACTCTCCGCTCGTGAATCCACACGTTGATCCACATGGCGAAGCACTGCCTGGGAAAATGGTATCCTGGGTCCGTGCCTGGGGACGAAAATCAAACAAGGTGGCTAGACATCTGCCGTGACGGTGGCCTCCCGCGGTAGCCCCTAGCCTCCCCCGAAAGGCTAAGAGGCTCGTCTTGGGAAGCCCGTGAACTTCGTGCCCATAGCGGGCGCCAGCCTGGGGGCCAGACAGCTCGACTCTCTTCAGCACT